TAGAACTGCACATATTAATGAACCAAAGAACTCAGCAACTTCTTCTTCAATTGCTCTCAACCTTTGACTTTGATGACCTCGCAACACTCTTCTTCTCACCCAAACCATATTTCAAACTTCCAACACTAAATTCATTGATCCTCTTATAGCAATCGAAATCCATTGTTTCTACAATCGGCATAACCTCAGCAACCGTTCTCCTCCTCCTAGTTCTTCCACGGCTCCTCGCGGTCGTCGTCGATGCCACAGCGACGAAGGCAGAGCTAGCACTGACGGCCAACTCCACCATGTCTGCCACCGTGAGGCGATATTCGAGCTTCCCCGGCGGCAACACGAAGTAGAGATGACCAAGCTCAATGAAACGATCGGAGCCCAATGCTTGAATGAACTGGCCGTAGAAGATGCTGTCGGCGTTACAGACGAAGCAGGAGGAGGATTTGTTGAGACCTAGAACATGGGATACTTTGACGGTTTGTGAGTATTCCATGAGTGTGCCGTCGAGATTAATCACTTTTGCAGTTGGCAGACTGTTGGTTGTTGGGGCGGAGGCGGCGGCAATGGTGGATGAGGAGAAGCAGGAACCCATGTGTTGTTTGGCTTTGACAGGAGAAAGGGATCGGCTTTGGGATAAATAGGAGTTTAGAGCAGGTGACGTCTGTAAATTCGCCACTAAAATGCCGTCGCTTTCAGTTGACGCGACTATTGATGTGGCTTAATTTATCTGTCACTGATGACGAAGGTTTTGTTTTTGGTTTCTTTAGGTGCAAGACAAGCAATTATACGAGAAGTAACGAGCGAATTTCTGTTTGACCAGGAAGATAATTTTTAAATCGTTATTTTTGAACATTTTATTACATATTTAACTAAAAAAATAACATTCAGCGCGGCATGATGGGCAAAGTCCCTGATGTAGGGAGAATTATTCACTGCGGACTACCCCAGACGTAGAGTTCCGCTGAATTTTGACATATATTCCAGACTCGCGCTTGGCAGACGAGCAGTGCAAGAAGCCGAGTAAGGGCTCAGTGGAGAGCAAGCCGGCGGCGGTTCATTTTCGGATCCGGTTTTTGGCCTGGACAAGCAAATTCGAACATTTTTTAGATTATCTGGACCATTTTTTTATGTTATTAACTCAATTTTGACACTTTTAAAACCAATTGATATTGGGATTATTCTAGAGTTTCAAATCGCATAAAAAATTCCTTCAAAGCTCTTATATGTATTTTCGAATTTCTAGAGCTTCAACGTCCGGAAATGGGGGGCAATTGATATACAATAAAAAAAAAATCTTGATCGGACACGAATCTCGAGGTATTAAAATTGGAAACTTATGAAATTAAATTCATAATAATATGAACTCCGATTGAGCAAACTTATAGTCGAACTGAACGTCTCAAAAAAACAAATGGAACGACACCAAATTAATGTAACTCAATCCGAGCCCAAATGGGATCAATGAATACTCGAAGTGCATTTAGAAGGTTCAAACTATAAATTGGATGACCAAATAGTTTCAAAACGTTACATGCTTATTATCGAATCGAGTGGCTTGACGAGACAAATCCAACAAACCCAAGATCGGTGAATTTTTACATCATTAAGGCACTCAAATACTCGATAAATGGTTCATGATCAAAGGAGTCGATATCAGCCGTCCATTCAAAACACTTTCAACTCTAAGAAAGTTATAAATAGATCCCCCATTCCTCGTGCAAAAGGAGGAGGAAGCATAAGAAGCAAGGAAGAGAAAGAAGAGAATGAATAAAACTTAAATAAGAGAGTTCACTTGACACCATGGTACCATACTCTTCCTCGACCACCAACCATCATCGGACTTTCACCGGAATTCTGCCAGGCCACCGACAGACGCCAAATTTTAGATGTTCATTGTCACCGCCATCTCCAGCTACAACATATGGTGCCAGTTATTATTATATGTGGTCGCAGCCCCATATTGATTATACATAAATATTTTAATTTTTGTATTATTTTCTCATATATTTTAAAGTTATATTTTTATATATGTCCTGTAAGCGCCACATGTCACATCTTAGCTAAAATTTTATCAGAATATAAATTTTTTCAGCAACATTCCAAATTAAACAGAAACACAATCCAATTCATCAAATCTGTACAGGGGAAAAATCAATAATTTCTCCTTAATTAGCGACAGGGATTAAACTGATTCGGAAGAACCGAAGAAACAAATGTGTAGAATTACTCGTAAACTTCCTCAATAGAGTCTAAACTTGGCCGGAAATGCCTCTTAACGGCACTCTCCCCTCCCCTCAAAGCCCTCTGCTTCACTTCATCACTCTTCCTCCAACCCTTCTCTGTTTTCCAATTTCCAACACTGATCTCATTAAAACTCTCATACCCATCAGAATCCAACGCCGTAACAACAGGCAAAACCTGAACACCCTTCCTCCGCCTCCTAGAATTGCTTTTCTTCTTCCTCATCAAAGCTGCGTCGGCTAGTGCAGAGTTTGCACTTACAGCCAACGCCGCCATCTCCGCCGCCGTCAAAGGATGGTTCAGCCTCTTTGCCGGCAGAAGAAAGTAGAGCTTTCCGAGCTCGATGTAACGGTTGTCGTCCAAAGCATGAATGTGGTGGCCGTAGAAGAGTCCGTCGGCGTTGCTGAGGAAGAAGGCGCGGTGGTTGAGACCGAGGACATGGGATACTTGGACGGGCTGAGAGTACTCTATGAGTAAGCCGTCAGCGTTGATAACTTTGGCGGTGGGAGACCGGCCGGTGGTGGAAGCGGCGGAGCAGGAGGAGGAGAAACAGGAGCCCATTTGCGATCGTTTGGATATGTCAAGGGGAAAGGTAGGAAGTAGGATAAATAGGAAGAAGGAGCAGTTGACGTCGGTGATGACAGTTTTATAAAAGTTTTGACTATTGGGTCGGGCTTTTAGTTTATTTGTGTCACGGATGACCGAAGTTTGTTTTAAGTCACGGATTAATAATGAAGGGGTAGTCAACGGTTGATTTGGTTGAATGGTTGCTACGTGGACGGCTATGGCTTGACGGCCACACCTAACGGGTGATCAGATTGTTGATCGGACGGTCGACGAAATTAAGAGATATTTATAGAATAATAGTGCTACACGCAAGGCTGTAAGAACCAGCTCAGCTATTATTCGATTCAGTACAGAATGCAAATCAATAGAATGTTCATCAGTCGCGCTGAACTATGCAACAATAATGAGTGAAGAGAACAATAAGAAACTTTAAAATTTCAATAAAATGAGCGTTAAATAGAAAAAAAAATTGAATGAAAATGAAAGAGCTTGGTCGGAAAATTTTTGTGTGATTGGTCCAAAATTTGTACTTTTTTTAGTTAGGTTATTTTGTAGTCATTTGTAATTCCTATTTTATTTCTTGTGTAGCATCCTATGCTACTATTAGAAGCCTTTAAATAAAGTTTGATTGTATTTGAAAAGATATGTTAAGCCGAAGCAAGTAAAGTTTTAGTTCTATGTTTTTATCTCACCCCTCTCGCTCTCTCCCTCTCTTCCAAGAAGTTGAAAACGAGCTTGTTCTTCCTCCTAGATTTAACAAATGGTTTGAGCCTTTTGGAGGCAGCCAAGTGAGTAGTAGGAGGTTTTCTTGTCTAAAAAATGCCTAAGAAAAGATTATAGGCAGATCTCAGGCGGAGACTAGTAGGAACAGGGCAGCCAAATGCGTGCAGGTTGAGCATGTAGGCCGAAGCAAGCACTAGGAGGGCGGCGGTACGCTAGGCGTGCGGTACACGGAAGCTGCACATGTGCATAGGGTACCGGGAGAGGTGCAAGCGTGTGCAAGCATACACGCTTGGTGGAGCATGCGGGGATGCGCTTGATTGTAAGGTAGTTGCACGAGGCAATAGTGCACGAGGATAGCGCTTGTGGACGTGTACTATGGAGTGCGCGAGGCAAAGAGTGTTGAGAGTGCGACATATCGCGTGTAGGTGAGCGGGCTCGCACGTTGAACAGACATAGTGCAAGAAGAGAATTTGTGCGGGCAAGGGTGTGCGAGGCACATTGGAAAGAAGCCATGCAGGATTGCGAACGCGTAAGTTGGGCATGTGCAAGTGGACATAGGCGATGGATGTCAGGTTGTGGGCCTGAAGTCGGGTTCATGTGGACAATACAAAAAGAATAATTTTTTACTAAATAAATATTAAAACATTTTTAATTAAATGTCCTAAAAAATACGTATTATGGCACAACTATATTTGGTGCTAAGCAAAAAAATATGTCAACATATTTGGCTCTAAAAAATAAATATTCACTCACAATTTCTTATTTCTCCTCACGGGTAAATCACTCATGATCTCCAGTTAACACCTATGACACCAACGTATTTCAAAATCTAAAACTCAATTGTGCCATTATATTTCCAACAAACACTCAAGCGATTCTCCTGTACTGCTCCATTCTTCTTCTCTAGAGGTGATTGCAAAGACATTTCTTATTTTTTTGGTGTGACATTGCCTAGGGTTTCATTCAATCAAAATGCCAAATATATTGGCAAACGCCAATTGCCGCTATAACGCAAAAGGTAAATATTCTGCTTCTTTAAGAAGCATAAAGAAAGCCGTCCCAAATTTTCAAATCAAAATGCCAATTATATTGGTAAATTTTCAAATCTCAATACCTTGATCTCACTAAGATTGGCTCACTGACTTTTAATAAGGCATTAAAAAGTTTGAGTAGTGTAAATTATTCAATAGATGCGTTAAGAGAGATTGAAGCTTCGTTTGTGATGACTTTTTTCAGCGTCTTAAAATAGCTTTTTAGTACAGTTTTTTTTTTAAGAAGCATAAAGAAAGCCGTCCCAAACTAAGCTTAAGTAAAATCATGAATTTGAAAATCTTATCTCTTTGAAATAGTTAGGAGATAAATTTATCTATTAGAGCCATTCAATATCAGTAGGAGTTGAACAACTTATTCCACTTTTTGCAATGTGGGGGCAACGCTGCCTGGACTATCCTCAGTTGTCAACGGTTGACCACTGAGGAAAAAGAAGTCAACGGTTGATTTGGTGGAATGGTTGCCACGTGGAGGGCTATGGCTTCACGGCCTCATCTCACGGGTGGTTAGTTAGATTGTTGAAATATCTAAAGAATGATAGTACAGGTAGGGGTCCAAGAGCAAGCTTAAGTATTATTCCTATTTGGTTCAGGGCAGTAATTAAGTGAATAAAATTTTTTATTTAGATTTAGATTATTTGTTGAATCTGAGATTATACTTGGATCACATTCAATTATACTAAAATACTTAAATAAAAAAAAGAGAAAGAGAGAGCGATAGAGAAAATTACTAGAATTTTAAATTATTTTTTTAATGTAAATTGAGCTCATCCTTCAACTCAATATTTATTAAATTGAGATGGAGCTTGAGTGAGTATTAAAAATGTTGTTACATATATCACTGTATAAATTTTTTTTAGAAATATAATAATTGTATAGTCTAGTCTTATTGTTTTGACTTTAATGAAGTGGTCTACTGAGTTTTGAAATTTTTTTGTTTCTTATATATAAAAAGTCAATAGTCAAGTACTTGATCAAGTTTGCCTTGAGTAGGTGTCCTTTTTGAGAAGTCGTTAGGTCCGACTTCATAGATAGTAGTCTTTTGGACCAACAAGTAGACTTTACCGCCCGTTGAGACGAATTATTGGCCTTGATATCCTCTAGCTTGATCCGAGTTCTCTTATAGGTCAACAAGTATAAAACTAAGTAGATTAAATGAAATTGGACAAACAATTAGTTTTCCAACTCTTTTATATCTCTAAGGGTTTACTATAACCAAAATAAGAAAATATAAATTTTTTAGCTTTTTCGTTTCCTTCTTGTAATTTACTTTGAATTTAATGGATCTTTCTTCCCTATAAGAGCACAAGAAAGCCTATATAAAGCCTATATAAAGCCATATAGGCGGCTACACAAGAAAGTATACAGTATACAATTATATTGTTTTATTCTTGTGCTCTAATATTCCCTTCCTAATAATTAATAGATGATTAGATACTATAAAAGATAAGATTAATATCTCGAGTGGAGTTGTTATTATGAAAATCGGAAAGACGAAGGATAAAGATGAGAATCAATAATTATTCATGCCATGTTTTTGTGAGAATGGATGTTGCTTTGCTAGTAACTAATCTCCCTCAAATTGAGATTAAACAAAAATTTGGTTGCTCATTAATATTTTATCTTAATTAATTTTATGAATTTAATTGTATTGAGCACATTTTAATGTATTTGTTTTCTCTATGTGGGAGCTCTTAGTTGGTTATGCCTATTAGCAGCGATTAGATAACTTGCGTCCAAAGTTTGAATGTGATGGCCATAGAAATTATTGTGTACGCAGTCCGAATCTAGAGAATGATCCAGATTGCTGCGTATTTACTGCTTATTTGCTGCATATTTTTTTAAACATGTATTTTCTACGTATTTTTTTTTCCCATTTTTATTGTGTATTTAGTGAGTATTATTTATTTGCTATTTATTTGCCGCTCATTTACTGTGTATTAAAAAATACGCAGTAAATAAACAGTAAATACACAACAATCCGAACCATTCTCTACGTTCAGACTGTGTACACAATAATTTCTCGGCTGTTGCCGTTGCAGAGGAACCAGGTGTGGTGGTAGAGACGACATGGGATACTTAGACGGGCTGAGAGTAGTTTTTGAGTGAATCGTCATCGTTGATCACCTTAACGGTGGTCGGCCGGCTGGCTGTAGAAGCGGCGGAGGAGGAGGTAAAGCGGGAGCCCATGTGACGTTTGGATTGGCCGAAGAATACCTAACGTAATGAATTTGGATGTTGCGGAACGTATGGCCATCCATTAATTGAGTATAGTTAAAAATCAATAATAATATTTTATGCACTATAAATCCTCTTCAAAATTATCAAATATGCTAAATTAATTTTCACACATTAAGTAAATAAAATTAGGGATTTTTACATACATAACACTTAAAACTATGTTATTTACTTATCTAACACCTAAACTTACCTATTTACACATATACCACTAAAAAGCTTTTTCCCTCTCTAAAAAACCACTCCGTTTTCCTCTCCGTTAAACCCGGTTCAACAACTATATTCGCAAGCTTGTTTGGGCCTGAAACTGCTCTTCCTTCGGCATTTGCTCATCTTCTTCATTTCTTCGAAGATCAAAGCGGATCTCTGTTACAGACGAAACGCATCGGAGCCTCCTTTCTAGCCTCTTCTACGAAAATCCACCGGCCGTCACAAAATGGAGCAAATTTTGTTCAATCCATTGCACCAAATCCCTAAAACAACATTCTTGTCTGCCTCAACGAACAGGTTCCAAGCATTGAGGTTCCAAGCATCTGCCATCCTCACTGCTTCGCAAGCTTCTTCGTCCAGGCCAAAACTTCCTCCCGAGAATCACCGCTACCCTCACCGCACCGAATTACCATTAGGTCCAGATTCGCATCCCGGCCAAAGCCTCTCATCCATATTCGCGTCTGTTCTGCTTCTGAAACATAAAAAAATTGTTTATGTAACAGATATATGTTGATTAGGTAAGACGCTATATCCTATTCTTTGCTATACATTTCCACATGAGTTTCAACCAGGAGTTTTTTATGAGCCGTATGAAGCACAAGCAAGCAATTGTTTAAGCTGCCTACTCGCTGAATGAATTACACATCTGATTTTTTTTTTCTTGAAAAAAGACAGCTTTAGAACAGCAACCCAAGCCGATCTATCGAGTAAGGGAAACCAAGCGAGAAAGAGGTGCTGAAAATCGTTGTCAAAGAAAAAAAAATATATGAAATGGAGAATAACATAC